GGAGGGAGAAGAAGAGGATTCACACCTTTCCCAAGGGTATTAGCACGTAAGTGAATGTAATGGATTCGACTGGAATTCGAACTCGGCTCTTCGATTCCTCAAACCAAGCCGTTATCTATTACTCCACCGTGCCTCCTATTGCAAAGGTCTCATACTCCTGCCCATCAATCTACTACATCCTAATTTTCATGAGGTAATTTGCATATAAAATACAAATTTTATTTTAACCAAATTATGTACAATAACGGATTATGTGCAATCTTGGTGAACAATTCAACTCAAAAACTTGACACTATAAAAAAACCCAAAAAACTACACTATATCTAAACACAAAAGAGAAACATGTCATAATAGATTATTCTATCTTAAAACAACAAAGTTTTGTGCCAATTTTTAACATCAACTTGAGATTTTTCTTGTTAAAAATTTGGATAATTTTAACATGTGCAATATTATGGATAAAATAAGTTTATTTTATAGAGTTTTCTTGAGACTTAGCATGTGCTAAATAAATTCACAGATTTTGGACAAAAAAACAAATACCTCAGACTGATGTCATCATCTGTGAAATTATTTCATCCTTTAGTCATTTGTGCTTAGTTTAATTTGTAACGTACATAAATGGAGGTAGGAAAACCAAATGTTGATAAGATAGAGTGTCAAAAAGCACTGCTGGAGCCCCCAATCAGGCTTGCCTTTCCACCTAAGTCAGGGGTAGTATGCACTGGGCACATAAATAAGATTATCCATAGTGTTTGGCATCAAATACAATTACGTTTTGGTATAGTTAGGCCGGTGGGAATTTTCCAACTTATGAAATATGTGAGAAATTATTTTTTTTTGTAATTGGAATAAAATTATCATGCTGTGGCAAAAATTATTTAAGATATAAGTATGCTGTACTGAACAAGCACTGTGCCAGGGAAGGTGGAAACTTAAAAGAAATAATTTTCGCTAGCGCTTGTATCAAGGCTAAAAAAAAAAAAAAAAGATGTCAATATCAAGTCATTTTTTTCTCAATTAATTGTTCTTAAAAAAAAAAAAAAAAAAAAAAAAAAATAATTAATAATAATAATAATAATAATAATACCACCACTTAATACTTGTGGGATATTAATCCAAAAGAAATAATTTTCTATTTACCATAGAATAATTCAGATTTACAACACCAGTAGAATATTAATGAGAATGCATGATATGAAAAATAATTTACACACAGAAACCAATATCTGTTGACACCTACCTGTGGGGATATATATATATATATATATATATATATATATATATATATATATATATATATATATATTATATTATAAATAAATAAAAGAAAGAGGTTGTAGTGGTTCCAAGAGAAAAGTATGTATATTAAAAAGAAGAAAGAGAGGTGTTGCAAACGTTTTTGGTTGTAATGTGTTTTTTAGAAAAAATATTTTATTTTCCATAATTTTACTACGTGTTTCTGGTCTCGTTAATTTTTTCAGGTAAATTGAAAAAACATAAGGAAAAATTAATTATTTTTAATATGTGGAAATTTTTCTTAACAAGACAAACATAACCAGAAACATTAGTAAAATTATGGAAAATATAGCATAATATTTTTTTTCTAAAAAAAAAAAAAAAAAAAAAAAACAAAACACATTACAACCAAAAACATTTTATGGCACCTCTCTTCTCTTTAATATATATATATATATATATATATATATATATATATATAATTAAACATTATAATACAATTACCATCTAGAATTGTAATGAGGTCAGGAATTTTCTAACTCACTGAGGAATTTTTGATTCCTCAAACAAAATCAATGTGCCACTGAAAAAATTTGAAAGATAATAAATAAAATAAATAAGCGTACTCTGTTAAATAAGCATTGGGCTGAGGTGAGTGGGGTGATAAAAATAATCTAATATTGTAGGCACTTTTATTTGGTATACAAGAATACAATAAAAAAGACGGCAATATTCAAGTAAATTTTAAAATTTTGGTATACTTATAATAAAAAGCTTTTATTGAATTCCCGTGTTTGTGGTTAATATTTCCTGAATATTAATCAAAATAAATAACTTTCTATTTGTCATGAAATACTTCAGATTCTACAGCACAAGCATATTAATAATGAGAATTTGTGACATAGAAAAAAGTACCACACACAAAAACACATGCCGACATTTTGTGTTTTGGGCTATCAAATAACTATTAATTCTATTCTTGCATTTTATTATACAATCTAAAATTCCATTTAACGGCAAACAATTCAATAAGAAATTCAAATTTGCCTCCCTTGACTCCAATTTATTCCAGAGAAATGACGATCTCTGAAGAAAGAATTCCATTTTTAAAATCGTTAAAAATATTGAAAGATACCTTATTGGAAACAAAAAAAAAAAAAAAAAAGTTATATTTTAGCAGCCTGGTCTCATTATCAAGAAAAGATATATTCTGCTAATGCTAAATGTGTTTGCTTCCAGTGGAGTTGAATATTTTTTTTCC